TATATACCAGATAAAGTCATTTCATAACACCCAGGCTCACTAAGTGCATTGCGATCCATGGTGACTATGTTGAAAAGCAAATAAAGGTGTGTTGTAAAAGTGCCACAAGTTAATGAAAAGAAACGCTTTACAAATATTTTCTGGACCATGTATATTAACGTCCCGGATATCTTTCCCACTTGTTGAAATGAGCATCCGCTATTAGGAAGAAATACATAGGCATATGTCACGAAAACCCTGATTTGTACTGAAATGGCTTGTAGTCCATGAGGCACGAATCCCCGGTTTAACACCACAGGTTTAAAATTGTTACTAGTGAACATCCTAGCTTCAGCTGGTCGACAGTAATTTGTCAGCATTAAAAAGTTAACTGAAGTGAGACATTGTCGGGACGATGCTCTGTCGCGAGTAATACTTTCTAATGCTGTCATAACTCAGCTCATAATGGCTCCTTACCAACATAGGCTGCGGAACGTAACGTGAACAGAGAAATGTAGTTCTTGCTTGTTTCTTTCGCGTAGACGTTTGCTGATGTTAGTTCCAGTATGGAATGACCATATAGACCCCATTTCCTCTCTTAATTACCCTAATTTGTTTCTGTGTTTTGCATATTTACTAAATATTTTTTCATCCAGGAACGGACTTTCATTTGCGGTATGCAAAGAAATCTGGACTAAGTAAAAATTATAAATATTACCAAAATCAGTTTTTTTATTGCTAGTGGGGTGGGAATAAGTCCCTTGTACTGCGGCCACTTCTGGCATATTGTACCAGCCCCAGATGATAGGTGAGGGTGACTGTGGAGCAATTGGTGGAATGAAGATTGGCAGGGGAAACCGAAGTACTCGGAGGAAACCTGCCCCAGCGCCACTTTGTTCACCACAAATCCCAATTGACCAGACCCGGGATCGAATCCGGTCCGCCGCGGTGGGAAGCCAGCAACTAACCGCTTGAGCTGTGGCGCGGCCAAAATCAGATTTTAATGCAGCGAAAGATTGAAAGGAGTAGCTGAGGACGAAAATAAATGCAATGTGCTTATGTAAATTCCGAGAAAAACGAAGAATCGTTTTATTTCTGAAAAATCTAACAAATGAATAAGATAATTTGGACTGGGATTTTATGTTAATTTTGAACATGAACTTTTCTCATCAAAAGAGCGAAACTGTTCACATATAAGAATGCAGTTCTCATTAGTTAGCTATCACTATTTAGTTCTAGTAATGCTGTATAGCATCAGTAACAGAATACCACTTTATTTTCTGCTCACCTAATGTTGTGTTGCAATTCCTCTTGCTTCATGAGCAAGATGCCCAAAAAATTTGAAATCACAAATAATATTCGACTTTTGACACAGCTGTTACAACATATAATCAGTGTGTTCACCATTTACGCCGATGCATATGCACAAACATTTTCTAATCCAAGAGAACTCTGTGAACTCTTTATAGCAGCCCAGCTTGCTTTTAAAAGACGCTCGGTATCACGTAACTTTACAGCACATGCCTTGAACTTAACATATTCAACGTGTTTTTAGAATCAAATTCTGTGGCATATAATCATTTCAGCTGAAGCAGCATCGTTAAGTAGCCCAAATTCTTCATTACTTTCTGTACCCAGTTCCCTTTTTAGCCTATTTAACGACGTTTTAGATTCCTCAGAGCCTCTGTGGTCTAGTGGTCAGAGTTCCTGGCTACAGATCCAGAGGTCCGGGTTCGATTTCCGGCGCTACCAGATTTTCTGAGAAGTAGTGGGTCTGGAACGGGATTCACTCAGCCTCGTGAGGATAACTGAGTAGCTACTTGAATAGAAAAGTAGCGGCTCCGGTCTAGAATACCAAAATTAACGGCCGTGGGGATTCGTTGCGCTGACCACGCGACCTCCTCTATCCGCTAAAGTTGACACTAACTTCGCCGAGAAGCGGCGATCGCTCGGTCGGTATAGTTCGCTTGCGGACTAAAGCAAAAAACAAACCAGGAGGGACTGAAAAATCTACGAAAACCGCATATATTATAGTCAATGACTGGAGAGGAACTTGAACACGGACCTTCCGAATATGTTGGAGGGCCGCTACTCGCTTAACCGCGACGCTTGGTCAAGTATCTCGTGTACATGTATATCTCCTATGTGGTCCCTTCAAATCTCGTGCGTTCCTTGTTTCTGCTATGCATGTTACTTATTTAGGATTCTGTGAATTTTTCCTCAAAATATTACCCAGGGTAGCGTAGTCGTTATAGGGATTATCTATGGGTTTGAAGACCGAGAGGTCGGAGTTCGAGTCCCGGTAATGTCAAGAATTTTCTCTTCTTCATGTCGTCTAGACCGGCTCTGGGGTCCACCCAACCTCCTATCCAATGGGTAGGCCTGGGCGTGGAGCTGACCTTCTCCTCCAGCTAGTGTCGAGGTCAAGAAAATGTGGATCTATACGTAGACTCCCCCATACGCCTTCATAGCGTAGTTCTTAATTAGTTAAGCCAAGGATAACTTTACCTTTATTTCAGTACTGTTACATTAGAATAGTCCGCGCCATAGCTCAAGCGGTTAGTTTCTGACTTCCCACCGCGGCGGTCCGGGTTCGATCCCGGGTCTGGTCAAGTGGGATTTGTGATGGACAAAGTGGCGCTGGGGCAAGTCTTCTCCGAGTACTTCCGTTTCCCCTGCCAATCTTCATTCCACTAATTGCTTCACAATCACCCTCACCTATCATCTGGGGCTGGTACAATAGGCCAGAATTGGCCGCAGTACAAGCTACTTAGTCCCACCCCACTGGCAATAAAAAAAATGCATTAGACTAATTTCATCACATTTCATGTTCATGCTGGCACATTACTCACTATGAGCATTTGAATAGGTGGAATGTATTGACAATAACATTTTATACGTTTTGGTTGACTGATCCTATATCAATTCAACGACACTTCTTCAACACCATGAGCTGAATGAAAAAATGGCTCTACTCCGTCAACACATCTTGATACAGATCATAACACTGCCTTTTAAAAGCTACTAGACTTCCAGCTTGCATGTGCCAGTGGTACGTTCAAACATCTTCCATAACATTGCCTGAACAAATCATGATATACCCTAGTTCGTACAGTAGGTGGACATTATGAATGATGAATTTTGAGCAATGTGGTACGATTCTGCTTATATTAAATCACTGTCTCAGCATTTGGCTTGAGGGACTTACTAGAACCATGGAAATTCATAGCATAACCGATCGCCAATCCGAGATCCCTACTCGGGACATTACGAATACAGGAGTGCTAAGCACTGAGACGCCTCTTTATGCGTTTTCTTCTGTAATTTCCTTTCTGGTGTTACGAACAGCTCCAACAATCCGCTCATACCGGATGTCACTGGAACTGCAACAGGAAATACCGCGAATATAGTAACAGAAGAACTGATACCGAAATATTGCGATGAATTCCGAAGTGAAGAGCGACACGGAACTGGCCGAAGATATCCGACGGGGCATAGCGACGCCAGTTGCAGTTGTCCGGCGTTTGTCAGTCGCGAGACTCCTCT